ATTATAATTATTATAAATTTATTTCCTTTATATCGAGTACTGTGGTCGTATTTTCGAATATTCTCGCATACGAAATTTGATACGATTTCGAATGCTCCCCATTTAATTTACATTGCTGTCAATCAAATTTCGTATACGAAATGTACTCGAATGAATTCGAAAATACGACCCCAGATCGATATAATATATTGTGGATTCCTTAACCTTCAAAAGGTTAATTTAACTTTAAATTTCAAATCAATAATGTGGTAGTTTTACAAGAAAGACTAATGTGAAATTTTTAGGTAGTCAAATTTGAGTTTAATGTTTACCTATTTTGAACTTTAAAGGTAAGAAGGTTGAGGTCTTCCGGAAACCCTGACCCCTTGATTTCACCTAGCAGGTTTTTGATATTTAAAACAGCCTAGGGATTTTTTATTACCTTTCCCCATTTTATTTATTGTTTGATTGACTTTCGGTCAAAAATTAAATGCTGTTTTTATTTTGACTTCAACACTTAGGTAAGCCTCGTAGGTATCTATTTAATTGTTTTTAACTTTCATTCTTTTTATATACCTATTTAAATTAAATTTTGCTTTCCGTGAGCTGCTTAAATTGTTTTAACAAAATTGGATACTGAACAATAATCACCTTTAAACAATTTATTTGTTTCAATGTTAATGAACAACAAGTTCGCCATCCGGTCAATACATTATTGTTTTTAGAATTCCAAAGGTTGTGTTTTTATTGCAGGGGTTAAATGTCAGATAGCTATTGGATTTATTTTACCTTTTCAGATTTTTGCATTTATCTTTTAAAATAATAGCTAATTATTTGATTAGTGTCTAGTTTGGCTATTCTTTGATAATCAAAATAATTTTATACAAACTAATGACGCCCTCTCTTTACTGTACCAACACCAAGGACCACCCCAAGTTAAAAAACCACTGAACATAGTCGAGCACAATTATGAGCATTCTTTTGTTCCGACAAAAGAGCGTTACAAGATAGAAAATAATTCTAATGAGGTCCCAAACGATGCTGCTTCAATTTCTTCCAAATTTTCTTCAGATTCCCTATCTCATTTAGATGAAAGTGATGCTGAGGAAGTTCGTAGTGTCAGTGGTATTGTAGAAGAAGACGAGAGTGTTTGTGAAAAAGAAAGTGCTAAAGACAGAAGATATCCCAAACGAGATTCATGTAAGTCAAAAAAGTACAATGATTATATATAATGTGATGATTTTGAAAATGAGCCAGATCTTGCTATACTCGCTATATCTCATGATCTGGAACCAATTACTATTTCTGAAGGCATTATCAAGTGCCCGAAAAGAGGAATGGAAATCAGCCATTAGGAATGAGCTAAATGCGCTCAGAAAAAATAATGCTTGGGAATTAGTCGACAAACCCAGTAATAAAAATATTGTTAAAAATAAATGGGTATTTAAAATTAAAAGGGATCAGAATGGAGATATAGCAATATACAAGACAAGGCAAAGGGATTTACTCAGAAATTTGGAGTAGATAATTCAGAAACGTACTCTCCAGTTATTCGTTATAGTAATTTAAGATTTTTGTTGGCAATGACCGCTGAATTAGATCTTGAGATGTGGAAACTGCATTTCTAAATGGATACATAGATGAGGTTAGATATATGAGTCAACCAGAAGGTTTTGAGGAATCAGACTCTGAAAATAAAGTTTGTTTGCTCAAAAAAACCATATATGGCCTCAAGCAATCGTCAAGATGGTATCAAAAAGCACATGATGTATTATTGGGTTTGAACTTTAAACAATCTGAAATAGACACTGCATATTTTTCAAAAATATTCAAACCTCAATGGTCATTGTGGCACTTTGTGTCGACGATTTTTTTATTTTTCATAACAATACTGATGAGGTTGAAATGTTGAAAACTTAATTGGATAGGAATTTTCCTATTAAGGACTGAGCCAATTTCATATTGCTTGGGTATGAAAGTTGGAAGAGATAGATCCAAGCATGAACTGAAATTAAGTCAAGAACAATAATAAATAAAGTCCTTTAGAGATTTCAAATGACTAACTGCAATATTGTTAGTACACCTTTAGACCAAAAATCTAGACTTTCTTATGAAGGAAAATTTTATGATTGTCCTTATCAACAATTACTTGGATCAATAATGTATCTAGCAGTTTGCTTAAGGCCTGTTATTGCATTTTCTGTTTCATACCTGAGTCAATCTAATATTAACCATTCCAAAGAACACTGGCGAGCTGCCAAGCGTGTGCTTAAGTATTTGAAAGAAACAAAATCTATGGGAATATTATTCAAAAAATCAAATTCTCCCATAACAGGCTTTGTTGACTCAGATTGGGCCAATGATATACTTGATCGAAAATCGTTTTATGGATTTATTTCTTCCTTGGCTAATGGACCCATAGCTTGGGAATGTCTAAGACAAAAAACTTTGACCTAAAATTCAACTGAAGCAGAATATATTGGTATAACTGAGGCGACCAAAGAGGCGATGTATTTGAAATATTTGTGTTCTAAAATCTTGGATGCAAATAAAAATTGTGTTTTTCTATTCAAAAATTTTCCTATGGTCATCTACAATGACAATCAAAGTTCTATAGGATTATCAGAAAACCAAGTATTTCATAAGCGTACTAAACATATATAGGGTGGTCCGAAAAAAACCGGAATTGTGTTTTTGAGCTGTAACTTTTTTATTTGTTGACCAATTTTCTTTTGTTTTGGCTTGTTTGAAAGAGAAATGAACAGGCTAACGAATCAGAGTGAAACTTTAGACATTTGAAAAAAATCCAAAATGGCGGACTCCTTCAAAAATTGCCTAGTTTTGGATAGCGCTGGAACTTTTTTGTGACACCCTGTTTAAGTTTTTTTAATAAATTCTCAAAGTTCATCATTTTGCGAACATTTTAAGACCTCGACAGAAAAAATCAGTTGAAAACTAAGTGAAATATCGAATTTTTTCTAATATCGAATTTCAATTTTTTATATTGACAGCAAAATCTAGGATATGCTATTTCAGCTAGAATTTTTTTTTTCTACTCGACATATTTCGGGCTTGTTCGAAAGATAAATAGATAGGAGAAGGATTCGAAATGAAGATTTTGACTGTTGAGGAGAAATTAAAGATTTCCCAGTTCCTGTACGATAACCAATTTTGAAAAAGTTAACGATAAGTTTTCTAACAATACGACTACTTAATATTTTTATTTATAAATTTTAAAAAATAAAGTAAACACATTTAAGGGGCAAGAGGCGATATGGCCTCCGTGGGCCTCAACAACCCATGCTAAACGTCTACGCCAAGAATCGATAGAATTGGCAATGTTAGGTTGTTCTAGCAGTTCTCCCCAACACTCAATGATTTGGTTGCGCAGCTCTTCTAAATTATCGAACGTAGCGCAGGGATTCAAATCTGGGCTATAAGGCGGCCAGCGGCCAGTCAACGGGCTTTATAAAATCCGCAACTTGCTCTCTTAGATAGTTGATAGTAAAGTGGCTATTATGTCACCTGGATCCATCTTATATACAAACAGTATTTATCACCTTTATCTCATAAAAAGAGAAATACAAAACCGTACAATTTTATCAAAGTTTTTGTGAGAACCAAAATCTGAACAATAAATGAATGATAACTAGGTAAGTTATAAAATTACCTGCATAAAAGTGTAGTCTTGAGGTGTGAGCTGTTCAATTTCGGATCAAGGTTCTTTCGGGTAGCATATGGCGAACACAAGCTGACAATACTTGCGTGAATCCAAGCGAACTCCTTGGTCGATAACAATTAGTTGTGCTTTGTGGCTCCGAGAAATTGCTGCAGATAGATACCATTAAATAACTGCTGAATTGTTCTCCTCCTTTATCTGCTTTTCGAGCTTGGAGGGAAATTCGTAGTTGGTCTTTTTGCGAATTCTTTACTCCGGATAAGGTTAAAATGTTCCCATCACTGAACCAAATTTTTCGGATTTCAGCACGGGCTCTGAATCTATTAAGTAGGACAGTTTAAATGTGTAGTCCCGTTTAACATGCTTCAGCATTAAATCACTTTTAATTATTCTTTACTATCAACTATCTAAGAGAGCAAGTTGCGAATTTCATAGAGCCCGTTGACTGACCGCCTTATAGCCCAGATTTGAATCCCTGCGATTACTTTTTATAGGGGGACTTGGAAGAAAAAGTTCACTGAAATGGGGCTACGTTCAATAATTTAGAAGAGCTGCCAATTCTATCGATTCTTGGCGTAGACGTTTAGCCTCTTGCCCGTTAAACGTGTTCACTTTATTTTTAAAAATTTATAAATAAAAATATTAGTCGTATTGTTAGAAAACTTATCGTTAACTTTTTGAAAATTGGCTACATTAAAGGAACTGGGAAATCTTTAATTTTTCCTCAGCAGTCAAAATCTACATTCCGAATTCTTATCCTATCTATTTATCTTTCGAACAAGCCCGAAATAGAAAAAATATGTCGAGTAGAAAAAAAAATTCTAGCTGAGATAGCATATCGCGGGTGAGCTGGCAATACCTCCTATGTTATCTTGCCTCACTTTTCAGGACGTCATAAAAACTATGTAACTCTGGAATGGCTTGCTAGATTGCTTTTTTATTTGGAATGATGATAAAATAGTACACAAGAATAAGATTTTTATGATAGTTGAGAAAAAATTGTAACACCATTGGTTTTAAATGCACTTAGGAGCGATTGCTTTTATAAAGTTGGAATATAGGACATTATGCTCTCGATTTTTGCTATAAAGGGAGTTATTGAAATGAAGGAAAAATTGAGCTTACATTAGTTTTATTATTTTCAAAAGTAACTCAGGATTGCATTTCTAAAAATTCTAAGAAATATAAAAAATATTCAAAAGTAGGTACATAGATACAAAAAAACAAAATAAAAAAATATCCAAATTCAGTAAAATAAACTGAGATTAACACAAAATAAAAAAACATTCAAATTCAGTAAAACAAACTAAGAGTAACACAACACACCAACAAAAACTACATCTTATTTGGTATACAAAATATTGTCATAAAATGCATGAGTGTCTTTAGGCAGTACCGATTTAAGTTCCTGTAGATGTTCCCATTTAGATTTTTTAATTTTGCTAGGTGCACTTAACAGGGGTGGGTATGAATCAATAACTGGGATCGATTTGGGCCTAACTGGCAGACTTATATAGGGTTCTTCATAGGAAAGCTTAACAGTTATTTCAGGAGTTGGCAGCGCAGTGTATCTGATACATCTTATGTCATTTATTACTGGCTCATAGGCTCTTTTGCCAGGTCTGAGAGAAGTGTATCTTAAATGTTTAGTTTCTGCATAGTTTTTAAAGAAATTAAATTCCAGCAACTTTACATCATAAGGTCTAGGAGTAACCCTACATTCTCTTGACACTGAGCAATAATCACTTGGTAAGTGAATTTCTCTGTTTTTTAATTTACGCTCAATTAGGCTATGAACCGAGTCACATTCCATTTGGGTATGCCCCGGTTCAAGATACTTTTGGTAAATGGTAACTTCATGTTTCATTGCCAAGTTCAGCAAAGCATTCGCCAACACTTTGTTTCGGTTTTGAAAACCACATCCGTCAGAGTAGATGATAATTGGTACTTTGGATTCTGTTATGCATTTGGATTCTAAATGATCAATAATACACGTTGTAAACGTAGATGCACATAAGTCACTATTCTGATCTTCAGAAAACTAATAGCATGTGACGTCCCTTGTGGCAAGATCATAGATAGTGAAATTATGACAGCATAATTTTGTCTTGAAGTATAGTTTTCCTGCAGGAACATAAGGCGACAACTTAACCGCTTGCAAATCCATTGTCAAAACAATACATTTACCCTCTTCTGCTAACTTTTTGTCTTTGATTTTTTCTTCCCTAGCTTTATTTTTATTTTCAATGTGTGTTTTCCACTTTGACTCCTCAATGTTATTATATTTATAGGAAAAGCAAGTATTGCACTGATCCTTCTTAGGTGAAAATATAGAGAGGTTTTTCTCTTTAAACGCTTTTCTGAAAATTTTTCTGTTGAGAGGCTGACCAGTATCAACTTCTGTGCAATAGTCTGTGTAAGCTTTATAAAGATCAGTGAAGGTCTGGAAGGATTGCTCTAGGTAGAGTTTTGAGGTATCTTTTCTACAATAATGTGCTGGCAACTTAGGTAACTGCTCAAAAAATGTATTTAGATTTTTGTACTGATTAGCGTATTTATCCCTGTTATAGTTGGTGTTCCTGGAAGATTCGGAACCCATGCCAAATGTGCCCTTACTTACCCAATCTTGGATAGTTTTATATCCTAGGCCTAAAGTTTTTATGAACATTTGCCTACAAACTTGAAGTCTTTTGTCTCCTGAATTCAAATAATATAAGTATGTACCCTGTCTTCGTGATGCTTCTCTACCCCGTGCAGTATTTTGTTTGATTACATTCGAAGATACAAAAACCTTTCTTTGACCCCAATCCGTTTCGTTCCAAAATTTACTAAAAATTTGTTGTCGTGTTTCTTCTGTAAATTGTTGACAAAATCTCTTAGTACTTTTTTTGCATTTTGTAGATTTGCATGTTTCTTTCAATCTTCGTTCAACCCTTTGAGTATCCTGCTTCATTTTCTCTCCTTTCTTCTTGCTAAAACCGAGATAAGGTTTTCCTTCTAGCCTTAGTTTTTTATTTTTATTTCTTTTCCACTCTTCCGAATTGGCAACTAATCTTCTTTTACGCGCCTTATTATTTTCTTCTTGATTCCCAATTTCTGCATCTAAATTGGCATTTTCTGTTCGATCAATCATCTCCGAATCCTCCGAATCGGAACTATTATTGTTGATTTCCGATTCGGGTTGGTAGTCTGAATCGTTATCTTTTTCATTATCATAGGTTGATTGGTAATTCTGTTCTACGACTCCTAAAACACAAAAAATAGGTCAGTATACTTTTGTAGATTTTAATGCTGAATCAAATAATTACCATCGTTTTTTTCTAGTGAGCTACTCCTCACTGATTCACTGCCAGTTTCATTGTTATCAAGCAAATCATTCATTACTTCAGATCTTTCTAGATTATTTGTTGATTGTTCAAGTTCTGAATTGATCGATATTTCCAAAGGATTTAGCAGAGTTTGATTAATCAGCACACCATTTTCATCTAGCTCATACATATAATATTCCTCTTCAAGCGATACTGTAGCGTTATCCTCCAACAGGCTATCAAAGCACAGGGAAACAAGATTGTTTTCTTCATTATCTTCTTTAGAATTCTCAAGCTCATTCTGTCCATCTAGCATCACCACCGGTAGATTTTCAATATCAAATTTTATTTTTTTTGTACTTTCGGTAGGTTCAATGACGTTAATATTATCACAGTTAGTTTCATTATAAGTCTTATTTTCTTTATTATCATTAGTATTCTTCGTTTGTTCATCAGTCTTATTAAATTCATTATTATCAATATCACTTTTGGATTTTTGGTTGGTAGTTATCATAGCTAAAATTTTCTTGCCGCGTGAAGTCATTCTGACAAAACCTCCTATTTGCACAATATTCTTAGATATTTTTCGAGGCAAAAGCTCCTATCTAAAAGAAAAACCTTATAAGGCTATTATGGCAATAATCTTTCTATTTTTCAATATTGGAATTAAATTTCATAATGAGAAGACTTAGGTTAAAAGTATAATAACTCAAAACTTACCGCCTAAGCCACTATTAGCTTCAAAAATAGGAAAATTCGGGAGCACGACACACATAACAACTTGCCTCAAATAAAACTGTGTAATAGGAGATATTGCAATACTGTTTTTGGGCAGCATTTTAATAGGAGAAATTTCAAGGCCAAATTTTCAAACAAACGAGATTTTTGGCCAATAGGAGATGTTTACTAACGGTTGCGGAACGTGCATCTGTATCTATATCACAATAAAGCTCAAAATCGTAAAAATGCGAGATAGGAGATATTGCCAGCTCAGCCGCGATATCCTAGATTTTGCTGTCAATATAAAACATTGAAATTCGATATTACAAAAAATTCAATATTTCACTTAGTTTTCAACCGATTTTTTCTGTCGAGGTCTTAAAATGTTCGCAAAATGATGAACTTTAGGAATTTATTGAAAAAACTTACACAGGTTGTCACAAAAAAGTGGCAGCGCTATCCAAAACTAGGCAATTTTTGAAGGATTCCACCATTTTGGATTTCTTGCAAATATCAAAAGTTTTACCGCGATTCGTTAGTCTGTTCATTTCCCTTTCAAACAAGCCAAAACAAAAGAAAATTGGTCAACAAATCAAAAAGTTACAGCTCAAAAACAAAATTCCTGTTTTTTTTGGACCACCCTATATAATGTCAAATACCATTTCGTACGAGAAAAAATCAAAAACAATGAAATTCAGTTAAAATACATGCCAACAGCTAAAATGGTAGCAGACATGTTAACTAAATTTTTGGGTAGTAGAAAATATAGGTTTATCAGTGGAAAGTTAAACATGAAGTATTTAGATATAGTAATTAGGTACCCACCCATTTGTGATTTTGTTTACTTTGATTTGTACATGAATTTTTTATTTTTGGGTTTATTATTTTACCTTTAATATTGAGGCAGAATGTTGTTGTTTATAACTAATGCAATATTAGTTTAATGGACTGTATATTTGAATAAATTTCTTTTATTCGGAGAGAAATTATCTTGAACTAGACAGGATTTTTAATTTATTTGACAAATTTTATGACAATACAATCAATACCAGTTATTTTCCAAATTGCTTGTGGATAACAAATTTGCTGGTACTAATATAATATGTTCAGAAACAATAATATCTAATTTAATCTAAATCTAATTTAACATATCGCCCACCTTGAAAGGATGTGGTATAAACTTTCAACATATTTTACACAAAAGAAAAACAAAAACTTATACTAAATTAAAATTAATAGGTACCATAGTTTACGAATTTAAATAAATTCCTAATTCCAAAGGTACCTAATTCAACAAATACAAAAAGGTCTTTGAATCAACACTCCGATTCAATAGGTAAGACACAAACACGATTAATTCCTCTTTTCAATATAGTGCCTTGAGTTTTTACACTTACAACTCTCACGATATTATCTGTTCCGCGATGCAACTCAGTAACACGTCCTAGTTTCCAATGCAAGACCGGAACATTATCGTCTTTAATTAACACTAAAGATCCCAGCTTTACCAAAGACTGACAGTTTTTCCGCCATTTCAATCTGGTTTGTAGTTCACTAAGGTACTCCTTTTGCCATCTCTTCCAGTAATGCTGAACCATAAACTGAATATGCTGCCAACGAGACAGTCGATTCTCCAAAACATCGATAAGAGGGTATTCTGGTATTGAGGTAAGGGTACGTCCAATCAGAAAATGGGCAGGCGTCAAAGCAGCAGCATCTTCTGGGTCTTCAGTTATTGGACATAAGGGTCGAGAATTTAAAATGGCTTCGATTTGAATCAGTAAAGTACCCAACTCCTCAAATGTTAAAGATTTATTCCCAAGAACACGCTTGATATGAATTTTGGAGCTTTTTATTCCTGCTTCCCAGAGACCTCCAAAAGTAGGGGAATTGGCAGGAATAAAGTGCCATTTTATATTTTCATTCGCTAACATTGTAGTAAAATACTCGCAATTAATTTGTAAAAATTCATAAACTCGACAAATTTCTCTATTTGCTCCAACGTAATTAAGACCATTATCCGAATAAATATTTCTAGGTTTGCCCCGCCTACTCGCAAACCTATGAAGAGCAGCTAAAAAACATTCTGTTGTTAGCTCTGAAACAATCTCAAGATGTACTGCTTTGGTACACATACAAACAAACAAACAAAGGTAAGCCTTGGAACACTGAGAGCCTCGACCTTTCTTATTTTTAACATAAAATGGCCCACCATAATCAGTGCCAACATTTTCAAAGACACCGTAAGTGTTAACCCGAACATCAGGCAAATTTCCCATTAAGTAATTGTTCCCCCTAGGATTAGCCTTGAAGCAATTCAAGCATTTATTTATTATTTGCCGACAAACATTTCGACCACCTATGGGCCAGTATTTTTCTCTGATGGAGGATAACAAAAGTTGTGCACCGCAATGTAAAAGTCGCTTATGTTCATGTTCTAGTATATATTTGGTTAAAGTGTGTTTACTAGGTAAAATAATAGGATATTTTTTCTCATCTGATAGATTAGCATGTTTAAGTCTACCGCCAACACATATTAAATCATTTTTTAAAATTGGATTCAAACTCAAAATTTTACTTTTAGAAGAAATTTGCTTTCCAGAAATTAAACAATTAAATTCATCAGCAAACATCTCTAATTGAGCTTTTTTTATCAATAGTTCAAGTGATTTATTAATTTCTTCAGGCACAAAACCACCTTCGAGTCTTTTATCATGGTCTTTTATCTTCAAATTTTTTATAAAACGTAAGGCATAAGCTAATGAATGTAAAATTTCCGTAAAAGATGAACCATCTTTAGACAATTCATTAAACAAATTGAAAGTATTTGAAATAGGCAAAGAAACTGATTTTTGCTCCGGAATTTCATTAGGGATAGGATATTCTTGAAGACTCCAAGAAGAATAATCATTTGAAAGAAATTCTGGACCATGCCACCATAATAAATTATTCACCAAGTCTTTAGATGTAATACCTCTCGATAGTAAATCTGCAGGGTTTTCCTCCGATTTGACAAAATGCCAATCTTGTTTATTCGATAATGACTGAATTTCGCTAACCCTATTAGCCACAAAAGTCTTCCAAGAAGATGATTCACCGCGAATCCAATATAAAGTTATCGTCGAATCTGACCAAAAATAATATTTGTCAAACTTGATTTCCAAAGCTGTCATAACCTTTTTAACTAAATTAGCCAATAACTGTGCTGCACACAACTCCAATCTTGGCAGGCTGACTTGCTTTACAGGAGCGACTCGACTTTTGGCACATAACAAATTGGTAATAAAACTGCAATTTCTCAAAGAACATCGAACATAAACGCAAGCGCCATATGCCTTTACTGAGGCGTCACCAAAACCATGTAATTCTATTTGCACATAATCTGAAAATACGTTTCTATGTATTTTAAATTCATTAATTGAAGTGATACTGTGCTGAAATTCCTGCCAGATCTTAAGTATATAGCTAGGTAATTCATCGTCCCAATTTATCCTGAGTTTCCAAATATCTTGAATTAATAATTTGGCAACTATGATTATGGGTCCCAACAAACCCAACGGATCATATATCTGGGATATAACTGATAAAATTGTTCTTTTAGTAACTTTCTTCAATTTTAGAATATCTAGACTTATTTTATAATTTATGGAATCACCTTGAGCATTCCAAAAAATACCTAAAATTTTATTTGAATCATTATCACCAATATTTAATATACTTACATCTACATTATTACTAATCTTAAAATCGTTCAGAACATCTTTATCATTACATAGCCATTTGCGTAAATCAAAACCAGATTTGGCCAAAAGTTCATAAATATTTTTTTGAATATACAACAGTTCTTCTTTTGAATTTGCCCCGGTGAGTAAGTCATCCATGTAAAAATCACGCCTGATGATTTTGCTTATCAGTTTATTGTCTTCATTTTGTTTTGCTATGTCAAAAAGACATTTAACCGCTAAGTAAGGAGCTGACGCAGTTCCATAGGTAACAGTATGCAAGATATAACATTTAAGCTCTTCATCAGGATGTGATCGCCAAAATATTTTTTGATATATTTGATCATCTTCATTTATAAGTATTTGGCGGTACATTTTACTCACATCACCAGTCATTACATACTTATGTATGCGAAATCTTACTAATATTTGGAAAATATCCTGTTGCAATGTAGGCCCAACAAATTGCACATCATTCAGAGACAAACCAGAAGTAGTCTTACACGAGGCATCAAAAACTGTTCGTAACTTAGTAGTTAAACTCGTGCTTTTGATGACCGCATGGTGAGGCAAATAATAACCCATACTTTCACAATCAAAATCCTTATACTCTGACATATGATTTAAAGAGATATACTCATCCATAAATTGTATATATTCCTTTCTTAAATCTGGATTTTTAATCAATTTTCTCTCTAAACCATAAAATCTATTAAGTGCATTAATTTTAGAGTTTCCTAAATTTGAAATAGATTTTTTGAAAGGGATTCTCACAATATATCTACCGTTGTCGTCTCTGATAGTGGTGGAGTCAAAAAGTTCCTCGCAATATCTTTCTGTCTCCGATAAAACATCTTTTTTACTCAAAACATCCTCTAATTCCCAAAATTTCACGATACTAATGTCAAGATTACACCCATTAGTGTCATTACTAAAACAATTTATCGACATATTGACGTTATTAAAACCTATTTGCATATTTCCTGCAACTATCCATCCAAATACAGTATTCTGTAAAATGGGAAGTTTATTTCCTAATGAAATTTGTCCTGAATAAATAGCCGTCCAAAATATTCCAGATCCCAATAATATATCAATTTCTTTCGAAACGTTAAAATCAGGATCTGCTAATTCTAACTCCACCGGTATTTGGAGTGAACTTTTATTGAAACTACAAACAGGTAATCTATCTGTAATTTTCTGTATCACTAAACAGTTTATATTTTGTTCAAAAGAATTAACTCGTGACATAATTTTGATATTTACTTGGCGATCTATATTAGATAACATCTGTCCAATTCCCTTAACGGCATGATTAATTTTAACATATTCCAAATTGAGCTTTTCACAGAATGATTTGGAGATGAAATTACTTTGAGACCCACTATCTAGAAGTGCCCTACATGTTATTTCCTTCCCACCATTTTTTACTATAAGTTTTATTGTAGATAATAATACTTGAGAACTAGACATAGCAAAATCGCTCCTTTGTACATGGGTAACTACACTGGAATCGCCAATGTCCGGAGTTACTAAAGAATCTCGATTTATATTTTCCAAATGTAACAAGGTGTTATGCGGTTTATGACATTTGGCACATTTATTTAGTTTACATTTCC